GGGGGGGCTGGGCGAGGCGGGACACGTCGTCGGGGAGTCCACCGTCATCCCCCTTCCCCTTATACCCCTAGTGCCCACATCATTACCCTCCTTTTCTTTGCAGGGTCGTTTGCCCTTGCGAGCTTCCTAGATGAACTGTTGAACCTTACGAATCTCTTATTTATTCAGGCATGATTAAGGACTACGCAGAAACAATAATGAGAAAAAAATCATCGGTAGCTTCCTGGTACATTGTTTTGGGCTGATGACTTATATCGCGTTACGCGAATCGCACTGACGACGAACCCTAGACCGCGTGTACCTCCTCGACAGAAAATATAGCAAGACAGATCTTTATCAGCGTCAATCGGCTTATCAGAACTGGAACTGGAACGTCATAATGGCAATCTTTATCAAAACCGGAACAGCGATCGGCAACGGGAAACTTTTACATTCGGGTAGACAGCCATCTTACTGTCTAAAAAGGAAATACATAGTTATTTGCACTATGAGTATCCATATCCATTTGGGACGCCAGGGTGGCTACGTCGTGCGTATTACAACTTTTGTAGTTGAACTGTGCCGCACGCAGGCGTGCGTGCGGGCAGTGCGGGTTACCTATCCGGTCGGGAGTCGTGCTAAGGCGCCGTGGTCAGCGACGATAGGCAAACCCACCCACATGCCTGCATGCGGTACAGTCACTGCAGAAGTAGCGGGTTTCGTCGTATAGTGGGTGATCTCATCAGTACCCCGCCGCTCTGGCCAGTGGCCGCCGTGGCCGGGCCCGCGGTCGTTCCCCAATCTATCGCCAGTATATCAGGCACGACTTAAAGCGGCGTCGCACTTTTGTTGGCACTCCCCTCCCCCTCTCGACATGGCCTTATCGCTCTCGGCGCAGGCGTAAAAGACGAAAGCTAGACGTGCGCGCATTTGCCGATATTGTATCTGGAGATGCTCACAACAGCTGATACGACGCGTCACCCGTGCCCCCTCCCTCCCTTCGGCCTAAGAGGTAAAGGCAAAAATAATTTTACAGACCACGAGCTCTTATGCAATGAACGCACGGACAGCAGTACGTAGTGGCGTGGCAGTGCCTATATTGGCAAAATCACTGCCAAAAAAAATCTAGGTGTGGGCGCATATGTTGCCTACTTTCAGGCGTCTCATTTGGGACGTGGGGAGGGGAGGGGGGGGGGCTTGCCCCATTCAAACCACCCTTGCCCTCATCAGGTGGTTGGTTAAGCAGATCTGAGCATCTTCGTTGTGAGGAAAAGTGAAAAGCGTCAGTGGCGTAGGAAACGTCGAGTTTTCGGGCTCAGCTGACCCCCCCCCCGATCCCCCAGAACAACAAAGTATAGGTTACGTAGGCCTATTAAGAAATGGACTAACAAAATCACTGAAATGAATTAAAAGACAGCAAAGTAGTGGCAAAAAAATCGTGAATTCGGTGGACGTTCAATGGACGCCAGCAACGGTTATCGTGGATACCCATTCAAGGTAAAGATCTGCATTTCTTTCACACTGCTCAACCTCCCTATTAAAAAAATGGTAATTGGCCCCCAAATTTCTAAAATATTCATACGCTCCTAGAGCGCCCCATCCTAAAAGCCGTACCATCTCGCCCGCCATCGCTTTTTCTGACTGTGCTGTACTTCCCTCCGTCCTCAGCCCCTTCCCACCCTGTTTTGACCAGAGCCAACAGTGGCACCCCTACCGGCACCCTAGCGGCATAATGTGCTAACGGCGGCTTGTGCGGTTTAGCTTTGACTTTCATTGCAATGGCTTCGTCCGAACTTTTCTCTTTACACCGCCCGTCGCCGCTGTCGCCCTTTCTCCCTTTGCGCGTTGCGGCCCGGGGCGGGCGGGGCTGTCCGGTCCGTGTTGTTGCGGTGGTGGTTCCACTCGGCCTACCCAGCCCCCACTGCTACTGCCGCAACAGCTGCCTCACGGCCAGTGACCCCTCGATCATCCCTAACCCTCCGACATAGACCATTCCCATGGCAGTTTTTCGTTTCTGTAGTGACTGAAAGTCAACAGACTTGGTGTCCTAGGCCGCGCCATGAACGTCGCGAGTGGTTTGCAACGATCTGCGGCGGCCGCCGGGAAATAAAACTGTATGACTCATCTTTTACCCTTGTGTTGTTGGCGGTACTGTGGCTCTCACTACATCGAGCAACGAATTGTTACCAAACAAAGTAGCCCCGCCACATATCATTTTAAGGAACTCTTGTTGACCAAGTGTAGTGTTTACCTCGCAACTGTCAAGAAAAATTACCTAGTCGCTTCGGTTATCAAGCGCATTATTTTTTAGCGTATTGGGCAGTATCGGCCATAGCGGCAAGTGGTTGGTTGTAGCCGTGCGCTAAGTTAATAGGGTTGGGAAGATGGCGGCCGCTGGTGGTGGTAGTGGAGAATAGCCAAGTCCGTCTCTCCTTCGTTAAAGCAATGTTGGTGTGTTCGTCGTGTACCCGCAACGCGTTGGCTGTGAAGAGTTCTTGATAGTCGGTGTGAAGTGGACCTGTGGAAAAGTGCAGCCGGAGGGGCATGGTTGAATGGCTAGGGCCCCGAGCCCGATACCCGGACTCGCAGGCCTAGGCCTTGGCCCACAGGCTTTACCCGAACAGTCTTTTTGTGCACGAGTGGTCCATTAGGCTGTCGTTGACGCCCTGTGTGTGATACAGTATGCAGAAACGTGAAGGAAGAGACAGAGAGAAGGATAGCAACCGCGAGGAAGCAAACAAACGAGTATCCAGGTCAAGCGCAGGCGGAGGAGGCGGCGGCCGGAGTGCCATGCATACTAGTCGGCACAGCATGTCCTCCAGCTCGGGGATTCTTATGGTGGGCCCCAACTTCCGAGTTGGAAAGAAAATAGGATGCGGGAACTTCGGGGAGCTAAGACTGGGTAAGTTTTTCTTCGTCGCTACGTTCCTGAGGTTCCCAGGGACCTCAGTGCGTGTACTGGACCCCCTCCCCCGTCACCTTGCATAGGTTAGACCCAACCCCTTGACAGGTGCTCCTGCACCGAGCCTGTATAATAATTGTGGCTGTCAAGCTTCTATTGCCTGTAACTGGGGTTACATCCGAACCTCCGTTCCTGCAACCTTCGTTGTACACTCTCTCCCTGTGTTTTGATGAATGTTTCGTGATTGCATGTATGTTTGTGTGTCTGTGAAGAGTACCCATTGACTCCATTTGTTGAGTATAATGCTAATTAAAAACCAGTTATTTACTTTATTCGTGATGCATACCTTCCTTGATTTTGTTTCCTGAATGTCTTATGTAGCTTTTATGACAAAACAGACTTAATTGTTGTTTTTTAGAGTAATAACCACTATTCTTGATGGGCTCCTTGTTCCCCCTTTAATCCAATTCCCATCTCTCATTTAAACTACATTACAGTTGTATGTATGTGTGTATATATGTATTATATATGTATGTATGGTACTGACAGGCCCATTTTTGATTCCCATCTCAGTCCCCATTACCTGCATTCAAGAGAATAAAATTTAAACTAAATTTCATCTCTCGGAAAAATTTAATGTGGCCAAGTGGCATTGAAGTGGATTCCGTCATTTTATGTGGCATTTGCCGGCATTTGCCACTTAAAATGACCAAACTCACTTCTATGCCACTTTTTCTCTTCAAATTTTTCACTCGGTTGTTATTTATAAAATCCTCTTAGCTGGTTTTTCTACCCTGAAAATATTGTTTTGTACTTAAATGTATCATTCCTTTTTTTTTTTTAACAGGCAAAAACCTTTACAACAACGAACATGTAGCCATAAAAATGGTAGGTTTGCCTCACTTGTGACTTGTTTGACTTTTATACTCATTGTATTGACTAAATTAATATTTATTACCTTCCTTCCAGGAACCAATGAAGTCAAAGGCCCCACAACTTCATTTGGAGTATAGGTTTTACAAGCTGCTAGGATCTCATGGTAAGTTGCTTGAGGATCAAATCTTGTAATTGTAATGTATTCTTTTGATGTCCATATTCTAAAACTCATGAAAGTTCAAGATTAACAATACAAACTTAGCATTTAGCTTCACAGACTGTACAATGCATATGTCACCCCATCCTTTCCTTATCCTCACTACCCTTTTAAAGATGAATGCCACAGTTTTCGCATATTGTTATGGCTTTTGTTTTCTTTTTCTTTTTGTCCAACCTGCTCAATTTTGAAAAACAGCAATTGGTGTAGATTGTGCACTTGTGCCATTTCCATGGACCTAAACTTTCATTTTGAACTAATTGACAAGTGTGCAAATACTGGAACTATGTTTTTGACTTAATAACTATTGATCAGTTGACTATCATCAGCCCTTTAGCAATCCTATTTATTTACTGTTGGCTTGCAAGATACTTGTTGCAATTGTCCTTGGAAGTTTTATTTTCAATCCTGGTGGGTGTGTTTAAATTGTACTGCTGTAGTGGCACAGCTAACTGTCATAGTTTTGATCTATCTGAACACATGGAACTTTCATATTAAGTGAATGGTACACAAAGGGAAGAAACAGAACAGTGATGGGGGTGCATGCATGTACTGCAAGCAGGTGGATTGTCTTCACGAGTGGAAGGGGCTGTTCAAGAAGCTAAGAAAAGAGACTTGGATGACTTACATCAAGACGGCGAGACTCGGGTGCCGGGTATGTGGATCGCTTGTTTCGCTGCTCTGACACACATACACACCGCTGGTTTTGTGACCAATTATATGTCTTCATGAAGGTTTATAGATACAGTATAGTTCTTAGTATGGAATCTATCCTGTTTTGCTATGTATATGTGAATTTTACGAGGAAAAAGGCTAGATTTTTTTGTGAGGTAATTGTTTTAGCTGCTGAGGTTTTGACGTAATGGTTATTGTCGGGTTTACTGCTTATTATCCAGACCAATTCAGTGGCTTTCAGTGCCCACTGGAAGTATATTTCTGTTAATCTTAACACCATAGGTCACTACTCCTTAATGTATTCCAATCAAACGTTATTGCCCATGTTCTTATTTTAAGATCCCTTCCACTAGTTTTGGACCATGTCACTGTTAACTTACGCTTACAAGAAACAATGACCATTAAACATCATACTTTATCAATTGTTTCATAGCACACACTTAACTTCAAACATTCTTTGCTGCTAGATGCTAGATGTCCTGGTCCTTGTAAGTTTTATGGAAGGATCTCAACTTTCAATTTCAGAAAGTGCAGAAACATAAATTTGTTGTCATTTATTTGTATTTAGCAAAGCACACCATTTGCTTGAGTGATGTGTGTTTGACAATTGTTTTTTTCTCATTTAAATGGAGTTTTGTTGTGAGTGTCAGATTTCTGGAGCACTATACTAATGCACTTAAGTAATGGAATTTAATTTAGTTATTCATTTGTATCTACAGTTTGAAATTTAAAAAGAGAAATTGAGGGAGGTTTTAATTTGCTGATTGAAAGGAAAAGTATCTTGCATGTCCAGCTTACAAATGATTTCTTAGAATTGCAAGTCACTCATTTTGGGGTTGTGTTATATAATCCCCATCCCTTAGTAGTGATCTCATTGCCTATCTTGTTTCAAAGGATTTATTACTTTTATGATTGCATGAAAATCTATAAGCTAACTTTGTCCAGTCCTTGTGTTTGAAAAATATTTTCTGATCTCTAGCATCTCTGATGATATTTTTTGACAATATTTTGATAAATTGGTATTTTATTATGAGGTATACATTCAAGATAGTTTTTCTGCGTTTGGGGAAGGAATATTGATAAAATCATAATTAAAATGGAACATATAATCTGCCTGGATTTGTTGAACTTAAGGTTTTTGCAATTATGTATTTTTATGGTGGCAGATTATTTCACCTGATTATTGGAGTTGAAGTCATGTGTTGGATTGGCCAGTCTGGGATAGATTGATTTAATATAAGAGTGCTTGTAGGTTCTTTATTTTGAGGTTTTTGTGCCTTCCCCCTCCTCCTTCCCCCCCACTATTCATTAATGATAGAATCAAAAGCTAATTTTGTTTTTTTGTTCGACCTTTATGAAACAATGCGTTAGTAACTAGGGTTGGGATTTAAAATCTGTTAAAATATATTTCATTCATGAAAATATTATAGGATAATTGACCTTAGTGCTTTATTGTAGTTGCATGAAATGCACCTCAAAGCACTATGTGCCAGTTAATGCTGGAACAAGATGTGCCTCAAATTTTAGTTTGGGTTTCATGCGGTCAACTGAAGTTTATGTGAATCATAACACTGGATTTCTCTTGGTCAGCAGAAGGCATCCCAGAAGTATACTACTTCGGTCCCTGTGGTAAATATAATGCCCTTGTCATGGAGCTCTTGGGACCTAGCCTAGAGGACCTATTTGAGGTTTGTGGCAGGCGCTTTTCATTGAAGACTGTGCTCATGATAGCCACCCAACTGGTATGTTTTTGGAGGTCAAAGTAAAGCTGATTTCTCACTTCTTTCTTTTTCTGATCTAATCTAATATTGTTTTACAAATGTATTACAGCTCCATAGGATAGAATATGTGCACACTAGGCATTTAATCTACAGAGATGTGAAGCCAGAGAACTTCCTCATAGGGCGATGTACTAACAAAAAAGATAAAGTAATCCATATTATAGGTAAGTTTGCAACTATGGCTTCCTTCAGATTCTCATGCTTATTCTGCTGGTTTGCTTCATTAACCTTTTGTTGTTGTAGATTTTGGATTGGCCAAGGAATACATAGACTTAGACACGAACAAGCATATTCCCTACCGGGAACACAAAAGTCTGACTGGAACAGCAAGATACATGAGCATAAATACTCACCTCGGGAAAGGTAATTTTCTGTGTATTATTGTCCTCTATCAAAAGCAAGTCATATTGAATTATTTTCATTAGTTGAAATCAAAAAATGCATTTTTCTGCATGCTATTTTTTTGTTTTTTCTACCTTAGAACAAAGTCGGCGTGATGATTTGGAAGCCTTAGGACACATGTTTATGTATTTTCTGCGTGGAAGCCTTCCATGGCAAGGTCTGAAAGCAGACACTCTAAAAGAACGGTATCAAAAAATAGGGGATACTAAAAGAGCAACTCCTATCGAGTCATTGTGTGAAGGGCACCCTGGTAAAAATCTAATGTGTTAGCAATATCCTTGTATTTTGATAGAATTTATAATAATTATACTTTCAACTTTTACAGAGGAAATGGCTACATATCTTCGATATGTCCGTCGCCTGGACTTCTTTGAAACTCCTGACTACGAGTACCTTAGAAAACTTTTCCAAGAGCTTTTTGAGAGAAGAGGATATGTTGATGATGGAGAATTTGATTGGACAGGAAAGACTATGGTAAGTGTAAATCTTTTCAGCTGGACATGTATTTCAGGTTGTGGGTTGCTGTGTCATTGCTGTTCATTTGGTGGCAATGTCCATTCATCTTTAACTTTCCTCAATTTCTGTTTCTCAACACCTATCTCTTGAACAGAAATTAATGAACAAACTGTTCCATCTCTTGTCTTACTTCACTTATGTTTCATAAAGTCTTTGCATGATTTTGCCTGTGTTGTAGAAATACTTTCTTCTCTTTCTGCATGCCTTTCTTCTGCTGTTCTGCTTGTAAGAGAATATGACAGCATATTTGCATGTTGGGCAGACACAAGACACATCTGATTTAGCCGCTGAAGCTGCACCAGATACATCTGCACTTGCACAACATCCCACTACTCAACATGAAGGAAACATTCAACCAATGTCCGATGGCATTCGAGAACCAAACATAGCCACTATTAAAGAAACTGACTACTTAAAAGAGTCTGTAAAAGAGACCACTCCAGAAGTCCCACAAGAAAACACCACTGTTAATGTTCATGAGTCTGCTCAAGATAAGCAGAAACTTGGCACAGGACCTAAACCAGAGAAGGTTCCTGATGTTGCTGCAATCTCTCCAGAGAGGATCCAGGCACCCTTGGAACCTTCTCCCCTCCATGTAATAGAAAATGTCAATGAAGAGGTATTTTGATCCATTTATTCTAATTGTACTCAAAAAGTACAACATTAATAGTATTAGTAAGATTAGGTTATTAAAAATAAAAAAGCATTGCATTGCAGCCAGTGCCTCCTGCAAGTGATGGTCAAATGTTGACTCCTCGACGACCACTGCCCCATGCTGATGGGGTCTCGTCTTTACAGATTCCTGCATCTCACTCAAATCCTACTGGTACCAATCCAAATCACAAGGGTCATAAGCAGACTACATCTGTCTCCCGAGCTCAAACCTCAGGTCAGGGCCGTCTTCACCAGCGCACAAGCTCCCGCGCAATCGCGACACGATCTCAAATTCATACTCCAACTCAATCTGTTCCTCAACATAAACCGCATCAGACAGCTCAGTCTTCTACTGTATCAGCACGACTGAAAGAGGATAAAACACATGGAACACAGAAGCCGTCCCGTCTCTAACATTTTCTCTTAAACTTTGGAATGATTAGTCTAAATTTCTTTTCTATTGCTTGTTACATGCAAGAAGTTCCCATTTTTGTATCTATAAAAGGTTGATTTGGTCCATACAATACTGTCATAATTTATATCCACTTTAAAATTTGTGTTTGTCAATCTGAATCTATCCTACGTGGAAGAGTTATTCATATGGCAGTGATTCCAGTTGTCATATTTTCATATTACTGGCTGTCTGTTAAGCATATCCATTTGGTAGTCCAATTTACAGTCTGATTACTCTTAACTCCTTGAAGTTAATTAACTGAATTGTAAAAAGCTGAATGCAGTAATTTTTTAGCCTTGCATTTTTCTTTTATTATTTTGATTGTAGATTATTTTGAAAGGTGGTTTTTATGGTCATTATTTCAGTTTGATGAAGTGTTTGACCAGAGTGTTAATAGTTTTTCAAAGTGGAAATCTACTCATAGTTTTTAATGTGCATGCTGCTTATTTCCTGCTATTAGCCTCCTAATTTCCATGCAATGAGACTTATCAGGGACGCCCCACCTTCAAACGTCGCCAAAAACAAATCTGACAAGGTCTGTATGTGTACTTTTGGATGTTCCCAAACCAGTTCCACACAGCATGTCATTTAGTTGTTTTCAGCTTTGTTGTTTGACTGTACCTTTCAGTTTTATTGTATGTAGCTCACATTTTGTCTAGCTTGTTATTAGTGTGACCACCTAGTGTTGTTTTTTTTTTTGTAATTATTCCTTTTTAATACCACTCTGTCTACTAAGTATAGTTTACTTTACTGCGGCTAAGTTTTTGTAGTTCTTGACTGTTCACTTTTTTTATTAATTTAAAGTTAATTTATTTCTACTAAGCTTTGTTCTTAATGTTAAGTTCTTAATGAGGCATTAAAATTGTCTTGAACTTGATGTGATTTATTGCTTGGTTTCTGGAAGTTAACAAACTTGTGGTGAAACTTGACCAGTCTTTAGTTATATATTACATATTGCATTTTGGTTTTATATATTAAGGGATGTTCAGTATCCATGTTCTGATTGCACCTTCTTATTCCACATATCGATCCTCTCTCACATATTTCTCTCTTGTCGATCAAGCTTTGTATTGCCTTTGGTAAAGTTGGTGGTATAGGCGTGAAGCAATCTGCCAGCCACTGAAGTTCAGTTGCTTCTGTCTTGTGGTGTGTGGCGATCAATACATGGTATTGTCTAAATTTCATGTATCTTCAAAGCAGCCTTTGTCATGAAATTTACATCATTATTGCTGTTAAAAGAAGAAAAAGTCACCAATGCTATTTTAAAATTTGATACTTATCTTGGAACAAACTGATATCTCAATTTGCTGAACTGGAGTAAATTACTTATATTCATTGATTTTGACAACTGCTCTATCTTTTTGTTGTATTCCATTTCTAATAAAAGAATGTTTATTTGTGTCAGCAGTCAACGCCCGTTGGATCACTGCAGACTGGCCACGAAATTGTCACATCACCAAATAGAGATAGGGTTCCTGCAGCCAGCAAGGTAAGAATCTTTTATAGATTATTTTATACAATTATGGAAGCAGTACTGAACTGGCTTTGTGGTGGAAAGGGTTGTTTTCCTGTTTTACTCCTGTCCTCTTTTCCCCCCAATCACCCCCTGTAGACAACTCTTTTTCTTTTTTGTTTACCGAAGTGGGCTATGTCTTATCATTGCTCTACAGGGGGATGAAATTGATTTTGAGGACACGGAGGACGACGTTCTGCTTGTCGTTCAGGTCAGAAATGTCGAACATGATGTAGGTCTTCTTCCCCTCTCTTGAGTTTCCTGCTGTCTAGAGAAAGTCCAAGAATATATTTTCCTGTTTTGTTTCTTTTTTTCCTTCCAGAAATATTTTGATTGAAAGTTCCTGTACATATGTTTATTATATCCCATTTTGTTAGCAAGCCCCACTTTTTTGTTTACATGCACTTGTTTGTTTGTCATGTGTCAAGTTTCTAAAGAATGACTACAGTTTAGAAGACTGTATACTTTTCCTGTAATGCCTGTAGATTTGGGATGTAGTCCCCAAGTGAAACAAAATTTTATTTGTTGTTTCTTAAACCTCTCTAAACACCTGTGAAAGTTCTTTCCAATTATATTTAAAGAGTGGGTAATTTCTTTAGCATTACAGCAGAAGAATTGTTCAATCAACCTGTTAATCAGTATGCACTCCCTCTAGCAAAGATTTGAAAGCTTAAAAACTTTCTTGATCTAATCAAGTTGTTTTTTTTTTTTGCAGGGAGCAGCTAAAGGTGTCCCTGCATGGCCAGATGTACCAAATAAACAGCCTAACAATACTCTTGGTAACCTTACTCCTGCTGACAGACATGGTTCTGTACAGGTATGTAATTCGCATATTTATTTCTTTTGTTTTCTTAGTACCTCAGACAAGGTTCAAACAACAATATTTCTTTTGTAAATAGGTTGTGAGCTCCACTAATGGTGAACTTGCTAATGATGATCCAACTGCCGGTCATTCAAATACACCTATCACTGCAGCTGCTGAAGTAGAAATTGTGGATGAAACAAAGTAAGTAGTTTGGCTTTCAACACCTGTTCCAAATGTTTTCAATACTGACGTTATCTTTTAATCTTTTGTCTCGTCAGGTGTTGCTGCTTTTTCAAACGCAGGAAGAAGAAGTCTGGACGTCAGAAATGACTATCAGTAGTTGAGTGCAGTCCGGAAAGAGAAGCAGTGACTCTCTTGAGGGCTACAAGCCACTCAAATTCACGGGACAGCATCCTCAACAATCCAAACCCTGTGCAAAACTAAGTCGAGAAAGTGAAATCAAGGCAATCTTTTGAGAAGATGGAGTGTGTGTCTGTGTGAATGTTATTGCATGTAAGAGTTTATTTAAACTCAAGAAATCATTGAGACATTTGTGTGTATGAGATTGCTTTTGTATATTTTAACTAATAATGTATTGCATTTTATTGGCTGTATGTTAAATGATATAAAATTCTGGCTACAAATCCCTGTTAACGTCAGCTCAGAATCTTAAATCTCTACAAACTGATCACTTTTATTTAATATCTAATCCTGTGGGATAGAATAGCTTCTTTTTCCATCAATTATGAAATTCCCTTTAATTGATCAGTTTTGTACAGAAAATTCTTTAATGATTTATTTGTTTTACCTTTATTGTATATATAAGATATTTTATGATGGCTTTTAGTGATTGCAACATGCGCATTTTGATTTAGAGATGTGGGCTGCAGATAGTAGCATTGACTGTGCAGCGTTTGTACTGTGATGAACTCACTGAAGTTTTCAGAAAACTGAAACTTCCTTAGCTAAAGCTAAAATCATGAAGTGGTTAGTCACTGAGTTAATCATCTTAAATTGGCTCAGCCTACAAATGCTGTGCATTATCATGTCTTATCATAGGGTTTACACTGTTTGTGTTCAGATGTAAAGAATACTGTTGCAAAAATACAGACCATTCTCGGGTTTTTATTTGGTGCTTTTTTCTGTACTGTTTTCTCTCTCACCCTACTACTTCCATCATTGTTGCTTTGAGTTATTTTCTTTGAATTCAGTGTTATTGAAACTAAAACCAAAATTTTGATTCTTAAGCTCAGGGAGCCAGAACTGAGGAATTCTTATCCCATTTAACATTAGTCTCTAGGAAAGCTGCTAAGCGAAACTTTCCTTTTTTGCACTTTCCCAAATGTTAACTGCATTATTGCATTTGTAATGTTTAATATAGGTTCTTTACCTTCACTTGCTTGTAAACAAAAGTAAGTAGCTTATTTTGAGAAGTTTTGCTAGTGATATTTTTTGTTAGTCATGGTCATGATCTGGTACAGGCCTGGTGCAGGAGGCAGCTGACATATGTGACTGTTACCCTGTACACACTGAGCTTAGAATATCAGGTGTTCAGTGATTCTGTTGTTACATCTGTCCACTTATGTTGATTTAATGTTACTTCTATGTGAAAAGAAAAGGTAAAAGACACTGATCTGCTATGAGCAAACATGTTATATACCAGTAGAAACAAATTGTGTAAGTGAGGCTTTTTTTAAAAATAAAATCTTCTTGTTTTTTCTCTTATGATTGGCTGTGTGTGTGCGCGCGCATGTGTATGAATGAGAGAGTATCAGATTTTTAATTAGTTAACTTGTTAAGTGTGAACATTAAATCATGTCAAAATGGTGTGAGAATGAGAAACAGACTATGCTGAGGATCTTTTTGTACATATGAAATTGGAAGTTTATTGTACTCGACATTGAATTTCTTGTAATGAAGGGTATAAGAGGTGCTGTTGGGCTCAATCTTCAGACAGGTTTTATTATGTAGCATGTTCCAAAAATTAATTTATGACCTGGGTAAATCTTCCAGTGAAACTGTATGAAGGCAATTGCCTTTATTCTTTTCTCTCACCCTGCTACCATAACTCCCATTTTTACGCTGTTTCTTTAAATATCTGGTCTATTATTCTCCAGGACGAGACAGGAAAGACTGCTGGTAATTTGGCATTCCTACATTAATGAGTTTGCCCAGGTCTGGCTACAGTTGTTTGGGTGAGAACAATTTTTATATGATCAAAATTTGCTGTCTCTGCAATCTTGTTTGTGAACGACTTTATGTAATGTGAATGTGCACTTACGACTATTTTTTATCATCAATGACTTCTCTGAGTAGATTAAACAAATTTCCTTTGCATCAGCGTTTACATAAATTTCCCTTTCGTGCCAAATGTTTAAGGAATTTTATCTGGAAAAGTAGCTACCTCCGGTCTCCTGCTCCTGCTTAACTATATATCTCCATCCTCTTCTTTGTTATGATAAGGGTTAATTCTCTGCCTTGAGCAATTCTCATCACTACAATTAAAGAAGCTTAGTGAATTGGTTGCTTGATACACTTTTGTAACTATGCAATATTATTTTGATCATTTTTTTTACCTTTTCATTTTTTGATCAGTGAGAAAAAATTAGGAAATAAAATTGCTTATTGAAAGAGGGGGAAGCAAACAAGCAGTGATCTCTATTTTCATTCCAAAGATTGGTGGCGAGATTCTGCTCAACTTTTATGAAATTGAACTCCAGGTCACCTGTAGGTTGGGATATCTTCAAATTTAAAGTAACAATGTCGAACTTTTATTTTAAAGCTTTATCTTGTAAAGAAAGGCACACATGTACTTGAAAATACAGTATCAGTTTATTCAACAATTCTTATATTTGTCTAAAGAATCAGAACCTTAAGTCATGGTTGTAATTGCTTACAAATATTTGATAATGTTACATATTTACATCTGCTTACCCTCACAGACCAACCCATTATCTTCATAATGCTGTGTGGGCTAACTTGTAAATGTGCTTGCTTCTTGCTTTTTAATCTTGAGGGTTAGTATTATTCACTCAACAAGTGATACATTTTCTCTTTGAGTTCTACCGAATAAGCTTACAGAAATTGACTGATTTTTATTAGGGGCTTGGTAGGTATTCTCTGTTTTTTATGCTTGTGTGATAGATAAGCCCTTGTAGAAAAAAATCTTCAAGTAAAAGAAACTTCTGAAGTTTTATAAGCATTTGTTTCCTACTCTGATATTAAAAATTTTAACAAGAAGATTACGTCCAATTAATAATTGAGGCTGCTCTTTGAGAGCATTGGCGCAAATTCATGAGCTCATCTTTGGCATTCTGCATTACTAAAATTTGTCATGGTTTTGTCTACTTTTCTATCCTTTTCTGTTTTGGAGATAGCTTGTAGATCTTAATGGTGGAGGAAATTCTTCAACCTGTAGTAAGATTTTTTTTTTTTTTTTTAAGCTATTTTATGTTCCTTTGTAATCCTAATAATAACTAGTGCAGGTTAGCTCCAGTTCATCCTCCTTGTGGCGACTGATTCTTTTAGTTATGCTTGCTGAGCTATAAATTAATTTAGACTGTGATTGTTATGCACCTTCTTGCATGCAAAACCATGGCTTTCTTTGAAACAATTTTGATACCTTTGTTTCTGTTTTTCCTAATCTATGTTTTATGTATGTATTGTGTATTGTTTGGTGCACATTAATTTACTTAATTGTGGTACCTGCAGAGCTAAGTGTTTAGGGTATTGTCGTCTTACCTTGAACTTTGTCGGGAGGATTGAGATGCCAACAGCCCATGTCCTCTGAAAGATTTTCTGGGTTAATGTGAATTTTGTACATAAGGTTTTTCATTTAATTATTTTGACACCAAAAAAATAAATTTGGTTGTGTCTTACAAAACATCATAGGCTTGTATGATCAATTCTAATTGTTTTAACTGTTGAAATGGTTTCAGATTCATCCAATAGCAAGAAAAAAAGCCATTGTACCAACATGTGTAAACAATCTTTCCTCACAGCTGACTAGCATTCATGCTTTATTTTATCTAAGACAATGCCCCCAAATACTGACCGTACTATGCATTTACTTCACCATTTGAAAGTTTTATTTTTGGTTTGAGGACAAAACTTTGGACAACTGTGTAAATTTTGAAAAGCAAACTTCTGTTACATAAGTTTAGATCTCATTGCACCCCTGTTTTAGCACGTAATGTCAGACAATTTTTTTCTATCCTTTTGTTTGCTATGTTGCGCTGCATGCTGTTCTTCTGAAATGTCCAATCAATGATCAATATTTTTGTATTTAATTTTGTTTCCATCACTATTATATTGTAGTATGGTTTGAGGACATAACAATGTAAATTTTGATGTTTTCTCTGCCCATTTTACATTTCATGTTAAGTTTTGTGAGCACAAGGTATGTTGTCATTGTTAACTGAACCGTTAATTCTACAGATTGACCTGCTAACAATTACACACATTTTGTGTAAATTGGCTTTATTTTGGATGGAGCGCAGCTGATTTGTGAATGGGCACTGCAACATATTCTTGGTTCAAGAACTTTAACCTATGTTTCTGAACTGGGCCCATGCTGTGATTTTATGAATGCTTAAATCTTGTCTGCTCATATGTATTTGACTCATTCCTGTCAGCTAGATTCATATTAAATTTCTAATCTTAGTGTGTGTGTATGCCTTTTAATTAAGAATGGAGGTCTGGTGCAAGTTTTGCCTCTGTGCTGACAGTTGTGTGTTGATATTGTGACATTATCCTGCTGTACTGAAGATGATAGGTCATTGACGATTAAATGTTTGTTTCTATTTTTTAAATATTAAGTCCAAGGTGAAGTCAAATGTACTGTTATGATATTCATTGTGTTTCCAATTATTGGCACATCCAAATAATGTCATTTTATTTTATTTTCTGTGCAAAGGACCTTTAAAAATCTCCTGCACATTTCCTTTGACATGCATTAATGCAGTATCCACCAGTGCCACCAGCAAGTGTCATTTCATAAACCTTGGATTGGAAATTAGAGGTCTACTCATGGCTGTGTTGGATTGTCTCACCCCACTCCCTCCCCAAGATTAGATGCCGATCTTGGAAGCATACAATATGTGAAAACAGACGTTTATTAATTAAAAAGTTAAAATCATTGTTCACATCTTCGTACTTTCTTGTACCTATTCATATCCATATATAGTCGTAGTCGGGGAGGTACGTGACTTGCGACAACTTTACGAGTAGGCTACGACCCAGCCAGAAATACCATCTCGTCACGTCTAAGGTGACCATTAACACGTCTAAATGGTCACCTGAGACGTCTATTAGATATGGCATCTCTGGCTGAGGATACGCATACGCCGTAGATCCGGCAAGTAGATCAGATCATCCAAAGGGAATCACCACACCACAACGCTGGACTTCCCTAGCTTCGCCGAGCATAGAACAATGCGGAAATCTGTGTAAGAATGCAAACGGTTCACACTCTAATCCCAATGAACACCGGGACAGAGATGAACACCTCATGCAGATCACTTAACTCTCTAATAGTGTGGTATTTATTTTCTACATTTTCGTCCCACCTGAAATTTGTCTTCCCTTCGCCCTGCGTGCCTCCCTCTCAAATCCCTCTGAATCCTTCCGATCCTGGCTTGAAATGGGTCACCCCCGCCCCCGCATACGAAGCCCAATAAATGCGTCAAAGACAAACACGTGCCGCTTCCTTTCCCCTAGACCGCAGCCTGCACTAGGCCTGCAGGCGGCCGGGTCGGCATCGGCAGGTGTGGCTGTGTGGCTTTAGGGCCGCTAGGTGTGGCGGCTCGGCTTGGCATCACGGTTCAGTGCGATAAGCTGATAAAACCACGAATGAAGCCGTCACGCTAACAGCGGCATACTACTCGCATCAGCTCGACATCGCGACGGAGGGGCAATGACGCCAAGACCCCGACGGAAACGTGAAGGAAAGCGCCGTATTGTGTGTCGTTTTTCCTCCCCATAGTGCTTCTGTGCAATACGGTCCGCATGTGCGAGCTTGGCTGGCGCTGTTCGCTGACTTCACGACATGTGGCTTTACTTTGAAGAGTGTAGTGTCCTGCCACCGGAGCAGAATCGCAGGTATGTGCTGCGTAACGTGGGCTCGTGGGCTTCATTGGAGAGCCCTTCACCTTTTCTGCCTGCCTTATTGGTGTAATGGAATCGTGTTCAGGCCAAGAGAATTCAAATCAAGCAATATACATAATCTACATATCTATATTGATCTAGCGTATTTATCTCGATACATTACATATCGATCAAACCCAATGTAGGGGTATAATCTCTCACTCTCACCATCTCACGCAGCCGCATGAGCTTGTAATGCCCGCCATTGGGACAACAAAGTCAAAAGCTAACTAAAATTAAAACATTGCTTTCCGTAGAAATAATTGTATCTCTGATTAAACATGGAAGAATGAGTCCCTATAAAGTTATAAATTTAATCTTTTGAATTGTTTTTTTACTGGCGTCTCCTTTGATAAACAATGCGTGAGGTCTCAAAGATAGTCCACGACTTCAGCAGTTCTTTGCCATCTTGAATTTTAGGTTGGTCGTCATCTGCAACCAAGAAATGTATTTATTAAGAAATCCCATCTGTCGTATCTGTTGTTAGTAAACAGACTTATTTGTGTACGTATCTGTCATGTTGTAGTTAGGGTACATGTGCCTCCATTGACAATTGAACGTGTGACTCATGACGAAGGTCGGTGTTGTGTTGGGTGGCACAGCTATTGGTGAATAGGCCTAACTCAACTGTATGATGTGTACATTGAGTGCTTAAAATTCTTTACGTAAAGGATTCGGCACGACTTTCTATCTGGAGAGAGATAAATTTTGAGCGGCCAGTAGAAGTTTTGAATCTGTTCCCTCTCCTCATTATTGATGTATTCATATCATTAGACAACTGTTATAGGTTAAGTTCTTTACTAATTTTTGAACAATTAACAAAGTAGCCTTTTTAAATTTGAAAAGTAAGCTTGCATTCACTTAATATGTTGAATTGAAATGTCTTATTACTTTCCAATTTAAAACTCTCGGGTACCTTTATACTTCAATTTTAGTTCTCTCACAATTTGCCCTACCTTTTTGGTTTTTTAAAGACCCACCCAAATCTTGATAGATTTCACTTCAAATTAAATTTTGTGCGCCTTTATTATACTCTTAGTCCAAATTTTTATGTTAAATTAAATTGATCTGTCCAGTGAAATATATCCCATTGCTTTAAAACTTGCTTGTGATTTTGAGATTTGACTTGCATGTCCTCACAATGTTTTCAAACCTTGATTAACCTGGCCTGTTTTATTTTGTTTGTTTTGCTACAGTGTCTTGCTTTGTGTGTTGTCTTAGCAGGTCTGCTTGGTTCTACGTCTTCTACTTGCCTTCAGCTATAGATTATTTATTATCTACATCAAATCGGGAACCTGCAGGCTTGACGCAAGAAAATGAATTCTTCTGACCATGGGTAATTTTAAATCTTAATTGATTGAATACTTAGTACCTTTGTTTGCTCTTTTGGCGAGTTTCTGCGGATGGTTTTGTACGTTTGTCTTTGTTGTAGTGCGGGTGCTGCATTGTTGTACCTTGTTTGCACAATGCTAAACCATTGAGTGTATCATTTTTTTTCTGGGCCTGTTATGAGTATCAGGATGTCTGATTATGCTCAGTGAATAAATCTCTTAATTTAGGATAGCAGATCTGTTCTTCTTGTTTTAACTAGGTGTGTGTTCCATTTATTTTGTCATTGATTAATTTTATATTTTTATCTGTTCTAGATTTAATCCAGCATTCAACATGGCTGCTATTAAGCAAGTGTTTAATGAAGCTGTTGAGAGAGGTTTGTTTTACCTACTGACCTTTTTTACTTAACTAACTCATCTAACTTTTCTATGCTAGACACATTTTCTACATGAGTTTTGTGATGGTTATTTACAGTTCGTATGCCCACTCCAATGCGCTTACGAGACCTGATACGTCAAATACGAGCCGCACGTACGGCTACTGAAGAGAGGGAAGTTATCAATAAAGAATGTGCTTATATTCGATCAACATTCAGGGAAGAGGACTCTGCCTGGCGTTGCAGGAATGTTGCAAAACTTCTCTACATCCATATGCTAGGGTACTATACAAGTTTATTCATTATGAATTATTTATTTCAATTTATTTGGGGTTTTATTCAGGAAGTCATTGACTTGTCTTTTGAATTTTTAGATATCCTGCTCATTTTGGTCAATTAGAGTGTCTAAAGTTGATAGCATCACCAAGGTTCACTGACAAAAGGATTGGTTACCTCGGGGCCATGTTACTGTTGGACGAGAGGCAGGATGTACATTTACTCATAACAAACTGCTTGAAAAAGTATGCGCTTACTCTTGCTTCTGTGTATAAATATTTTTTCAAGAAACTTCATCATCTAAGTCTTTTTTTATTTTTTTTTGCATTTACAGCGACTTAAACAGCTCAACCCAGTTTGTTGTTGGTTTGGCCTTGTGTACACTGGGAGCCATTGCCTCTCCAGAAATGTCCCGTGATTTGGCTGCTGAAGTTGAGAGACTTATGAAGTCACCCAATGCCTACATTAGAAAGAAAGCTGCGCTGTGTGCCTATAGGATAGTATTAAAGGTTCCAGAACTCATGGAAATATTTTTACCTGCCACTCGCTCACTTTTGTCAGAGAAAAACCATGGTGAGTATATTGTATGTTCTACTTTCTTGACAGTCTACACCTTGAAGAATGTGACAATTGCTACTTTATTATTTTACAGGAGTCTTGATCACAGGTGTTACCCTTATCACAGAAATGTGTGAACACAGTCCTGACACTCTTCAACATTTCAAAAAAGTAAGTTATTTGTAAATTTGTGAAGTGAAATTAGTAGATATTTGTACTCTTAAACCCTTTATCTATTGCTCCCTGACTTGTGCATGTCTTGTAGAAAGGACTACTCTTAATGACCCTTTAATTTTAGGTCAAGGTAGATAATATGTTGCCAGTGAAATTCTAAGTCAAACTGGTAGATATTTGTTCCTTGTTCTTGCCCTGAAAATTAATTATTATAGATTTTCATATGCATTACATTACCTGTACTTCCCAATTTATTTGATGTACTTTGTAAGAGTAGATGAAACGGGTTGCATTTTAGTGTACAGCATAAATGGAGTACTTCTAATTGTTACAGAATTTTTCTGTAGTGTTGGGGAAAGGCAAGAAATCTTCCTTTAAGGTAGTTTTTTCAAGGCCTCTGGCAGTACAGTATTTGTGAACTTTAAGTCATAACTGTTGAAGGATGTTAATAATTGGTTTTGTTTTGTTCTGTACGGTGTAGGACTGCAGTCAAGAGGAGGTAATGCTTTTCGGACTGTGATGCCTTGCACCTGCACTTTGCACTAAACATGTAGATTTCAAAGCGACACACCCCCAAAAAATATTAAAAAATCAGCTTGTATTTAGTTTAAGGGTATTATAGTAGTTTCTAGAAAGTGTGCTTAGAATCTCAGCCAAAATTTAATAGATATGTGTTTTTTTGTGTTTTTTTTTAACTTTTAGGTTTGCGCAGTTGTGAATGAGTCTTGTATGTCTGTACTTTTCCTCATCACTCTTTATCCTCTTGGTGGTGGACTGAAGTGCTATTTTAGCATAAGCGTGGCATAAGCGTCGTTTTTGGTGTCATTCCGCGTTTAACGTCGGTTTTTCCGAGCGACCAATGTGGAAACTCTAACTAATTGCTTCGCATCTAGAATTTATTTTTCTTGACCAACATCCACCGATGATATATCGAGCTTAAACTGTAGCTTTGATTCCTAATCCTTTGACTTACATACCTATCTGTATTATAGTTTCACATTAGATTATCATTACTCATCTTGCTTAGTTTGAAAAAAAAAATACAGAGGAAAAACAATATTGTAGATTTTTGTTGTTTGTGGAACCTTTCTGGGTCAATGTCAGCTTTTAGTGTATGCAAGTACATTTGCTGGCTTTGTTTGAAGTTTAATACTTGAAATTTTTAAAGAAAATTTTTTGTATCTACAAACCTCTTATGTTTTGTCTTTGTCTAAAGGCTTCAAGTCAACCCATCCTTTTTTTTGGTTTTGACATTTTTCTGTGCACAAGTTTGTACTCTGTGTTTCAACCCAGTGGGAATAAGTTGATGTTGTGATTTTCAGATTGTTCCCAACCTCGTGCGTATCCTGAAAAATCTGATCTTGGCTGGTTATTCCCCAGAACATGACGTGTCAGGTGTCAGTGATCCTTTCCTTCAGGTATTTTTTTTTTCTAATCTAACATATTTTGTAAATCTACTTTGGTTTCTTAATTTAGCTAATTCTTTATTTTTCTTGTTTCTTTAAACAGGTGAAAATATTACGACTTCTTCGTATTTTGGGACGCAATGATGCTGAGGCATCTGAAGCCATGAATGATATTTTAGCTCAAGTGGCAACAAACACAGAAACATCAAAGAATGTTGGAAATACTATTCTCTATGAAACCGTCCTATCTATTATGGATATCAAGTCGGAGAGTGGCCTTCGGGTAAGGTGGAAATTTCTATCTATCAAGGATGTGCTCGCTATTCTACTATTTTACTTCATGCAATTTTCATTCTATAGGTCCTGGCTGTAAATATCCTTGGTCGTTTCTTGTTGAACAATGACAAGAATATAAGATATGTTGCATTGAACACCCTTCTGAAGACTGTTCACTTAGACACGAGTGCAGTTCAAAGACACCGCACTACTATATTAGAATGTCTCAAGGTTTGTGTTGGTCTTAAAAATACTGTTGTGTTGTTTCTATATTTAGCGCTAACTGAAATATTTTTCTTAGGATCCTGATGTTTCAATTAGACGGCGTGCCTTGGAACTTAGTTTTGCATTGATTAATTCCAACAATGTACGAACTATGATGAAAGAATTACTTTTATTCCTGGAACGCTCCGATCCTGAATTTAAAGCACAGTGCAGTTCTAGTATAGTGTTGGCAGCTGAACGATATGCTCCAAATAAGCGCTGGCATCTGGACACTTTGTTAAGAGTACTAATTGCTGTAAGTATAAAATGAATAATTGCATTGGTTGTAATGCCCAAAATTCATTAAAAAAATAAAAACAAATAATTTGTCTTTTAGGCTGGAAATTATGTCAGAGATGATGTGGTGTCATGCACTATCCAGCTGGTTTCAGACTCAGTTGATCAACAAGGTTATGTGTCAGCACAGTTATGGCGTGCTCTTGAACAGGATACTTCTGATAGGCAGCCACTTACACAGGTCGCTACCTGGTGCATAGGAGAGTATGGAGATGCCCTTCTTTACAGTGATGTGTCTGTTGGAGATGACCCAAGTGACATTGTGAGGGTAAGTGCATTATATTTCTCAGAGAAACTCACTTTCCATATCAATCTAAGCACTGAAATTTTATCCCTGTGTTTCTTGTAGGTCTCTGAGGACGAGTTGCTGGATGTATACCAGCGTTTACTGTGGTCACCCCAGAATACAATTGTCACAAAACAATACACTTTACTCTCTTTAACCAAACTTTCTACTCGCTTCCGTTCTAATGTGGAGTATGTGCCAGTTATCATACTTTGTATTATATCCTTAAGTCAACAAATTGCTGTTCTTACTCATTCATTTTCTTTTGTACTAGGCGGATTCGTCAGATGGTTCAGCAGTTTGGAAGTCATTTGCACATTGAATTGCAGCAAAGAGGAGTAGAGTTCACTCAGCTTTTCAATTCACACGCTCATTTACGTCCTGCTCTTTTAGAGCGCATGCCACCTATGGAAGTAGTTCGGCGTGATAATGGTTCCCAGCAGCAGCAAGTTCAGCACTCTACTGTGAATGGAGTGTTGGATATAGCAGATGTGAACTCAGAAGAGCCTGCAGTGAACAGTGATTCTGTATGTCTTCCTTTGTTTTTTCACTTTTATATTATTTTTATTTGGATAGATTACTGAACTTCTTGTGTGCTATACAGAATGCTCTTTTGGTTCTCCTTGGGGGAAGTGAGCCAAGTATTGTTGATACAGAAACTGAGCAGCAAACTGCTAAACCACCAGCTGGTGTACCTGCTACTACAGATAATCAAGATCTACTAGACCTATTAGGTTGTTCTGTTATATGTGTTCTCAACTTACAACTTGTGAACTGTGTTGTCTTACTTATGATTTAAATTGTCCAATATTACTACTTTTGCAGGTCTTGATATTGGAGGCTCTGCTCCTGTAGCAGTGAACAATATGAATATGAACAATAATGTCCACAGTACCAATAACAATAACCCTCTGCTACTGGATCCTTTAGGCTCCTTAGGATCTTTGAGCACTTCAACTCCTCTTCCACCATTATCTGGCCTCTCCTCTATAACTCCAAGTTTGGGTAAATTCAGTTTGAACCTCATTGTTGTATACAGTTTAATGCGCCTACCACAAAAGTAATTTTTTGTTCTTTCTGTGCAGATTCACCCAGCCTAGTGGCCTATGAGAAGAATGGCCTTCGAATTATGTTTACTTTAGAGCGCAGTGATGCCCCCTCAACAATATGCATAGCAATGGCTGCTTACAATGAGACAGCCACACTCATGAGTGACTTCCTGTTCCAAGTAGCAGTTCCAAAGGTAAAAGAAAACAACTAATAAAAAATGTATTGAAAGATCAATATTTATTATTATTAAGTAGTAAGATCAAAGATCACTAACAATCTTTTATACCTGTAGACATTTCAACTGCAAATGATGTCACCGAGTGGAACCACAATTCCTCCAGCAGGATCTGTCACTCAACAACTTCGAATTCAAAACCCCTCTAAGGTATTACTTTTATCTATTATCAAATTGCTGTAGTACACCTCAGGATGACTTTTTATTTTCCACCTGTTTAAATTGTAGGGAGCCCTAAGGATGCGAATGCGCATTTCATACAGCAGTGGAGGAGCAACCATTCAAGACCAAGCAGAAATGAATAATTTTCCCAGCGAGGGCTGGCAGTAAGATAATCACCAACTGTGTACTATTATTTTACTGAAGGTTTACTTGGGGGGAAGTAATATCTTGGCCATTATAAACTGCTACCGATTGTACTAAAAGAAACGTCTTAAATAGTCTTGAGACAATTTGCATTCCTCATCAGGACCTTGCACGGACCTGCTTTTGCTCAGCTGGTCTGAGCACCAGAGAAAAAAAAAAGATCAAGTTCAATTTGTTACCTTTTGTTTTATTGGCTGAGAGCTTTGCTACAATGTTTTATCTTGGAAGACAATGTTTGACTTTTCTGTACTTTAACTTTTGCTCTTTTCCTTATCTTTTAAGGAGGCAAAGAATCTTCTGTACATAAGTGGTATATTTTACTACAGAGAGGACCAGTTTTCAATGTATTATTTTTTAATGGAGTGAAACTCCTTATTATAAGTATGTTTTAATCATCATAAATTTATGTTTGTTGGTTTCTCAAACCCACATGCTTCAAGTTGTTCTGTCACACATTGTACATAATGGTCCATTTTATCTTAACTTGTAATTATGAAAATGAAATTATATGAAGAGTGAGTGCGAGAAAGTTTGTATATAATTATAAATTTTACTGTGGCCATTCATTTACACCAGACTGTGAATCCTAATTCTGGAAGTATTATGAGAAGGTGCAGCTAAGATGCCGACTGGTTCATATTGTATATAGATGTAGTGGTGAAATAAGGTCACAGCAGCACTTTCCGGGGGGTGAACTAATTTGTTGATAGTAATCTTAAGTTCTTTCCTGTAAGAATGTGATGAATTATATTGAGTTCAATGAAATCTCAACATGCAAGTAGTTATTTTATTTCTATTCCAGATACTTTTATTTCTGACCAGGATAAAAAAACAAAAAAACTACCTACTCAAACTAGACACTTCAAATAAAAGAGTAATAAACAGATCAAAAAGAGGTGATAAAGAAAGTTCCATGGAAAAAATTGAGCAGCACTTAAATTTTCCAACATTGCTACCCTTTATTTTTTTAAATATTAATTAAAAATCTGGGGTGATTGAGATTTTTTAAGTTAGAATACTTATTTTAATAGTACAATTTAACACTCATTCCATGAATAAGTTTTTGCAAACTTATCCTTACAAAAGTTGTCAATACACTTTCTACATAGGTGGATTAGATCCATTAGGACCAGGAGCCACATGGTTAAATAGGCGATCCTTTATGGTCTGAGCCATCAAACCATGAATTATTTCTATTGTAGTTTTGTTGCTGTCCTTGGTAACCTTCATTAATTTATCTTCACATCGCTTCTCGTGGGGATCTTGCATCCAATGACCAATCCGACCCAGAGCAGCCGATTGTTCTAATTTGTCTGATAAATCTAGGATCTAGAAGACACATGCAATTATCATTAGGTTTCCTGATGAAAAAATAAAACAGTGCAAAGACATAGGCTTAGGGAAATTCCCTCACAAACCTGTCCAGTAGTATAGTCTGCATTGGTAATCAGTGAACTAGATCCCAATGTGTTGACCCAGTATTTGTTCCAGAGAGAATCAAGCAGCCTACGATCAAGGGCAGATTTGAAATATGAAACTTCTAAAGAATAGTACTGCTTACAATGCACTCCAAAGTCTTCAATTTTATTCAGAGGAATGGTTTGATACTCTGATGGTTCTTCATTAGCTGGTTTGAAACCCTGCAAAGGAAAAATGAGAATAAGAAAACAATCATAGGGAAAAATTCATGTAAAACTGATACGTAGAAGCAAACACATTGAAACAAACCTTAGGATATGTTCGGAAAGCGCCTAAACAAACTTTCCCCGCAGAAATTGTGCGCACAGGATCAATGACAATAGCCACAAAAGGTTCTTGAAAGTTTTGGTTGAGCATTTGGGTTGAAACATCAATACCTGACAGCCAACACCCATAACCCGGGTGAGAGTGATACCACCCAATAGCATTTTCCAGGCGTCCAACCTGTATTAGATAGGATACAGTAGTTACATGTGAAAAACATTTGCAGAGGAAGTGTACAAAAAGGGCAAATTAGTATGCACCTGCTTGGCTGCTTCTATGTATGCAGTCATGTATTCATAGGCTTGCGCTTGTGCATTCACTCTTGTTTCAGTTCCTTCAACTGGTAGAGCAAAAGAGTCCATAACTATCATAGTATTGGCATCAACTTTTCCTAACAGTAGGCCCATTACTTCGAGAGTGCCACCAGAACGGGCATGCATAACCATCTTGAGCAATGCCAGAGCTGAAATTTTCATTTCCTTAAAAAAGTGAGGGCTGCAAGAATCAAAAAAATCAAAAAGTATTCTGTGGTGAGACAAAGCTCGACTTGAAGAGAAACATAGCTCGAACAATTAATCTATATCAAATAAAAGACTATTTAATTATGTAATTCAGTGCATTTACTCTTTCTCCCATGGCTTCGCAGCAAGAATATCTTGTTGCTGTTTTCTGTCGTAGCGGTAAATTTCATCAGTCGATGATATGGTTTCTATATTATTTGCAAGCTCCCATGTCTTGAAAGCGATTTGGGATTGGGTGGGGTTATCATCATTTGAAGTGGATGCCATCCTAAAACATTATAAAACGTAAGAAAGAAAATTTAGGAAACAATTCACTTCAGCAACAGACTCTAATCGTTTTAGAATATATTGGGAACTATCTGACAAGCTACACTCGCCTCTAGGTTATGGCTCCCAGAGCCGTACAAGTTATATATCCGGTAATTTCTTTAAATGAAATTACACTTGGCCAAACAATGAACACTGAACAGACGACAGCACTAATTTCCGATTGATATTGTGGGAGTGTTTTTTTTTCCTACAATAATTCTATGAGAAAGAGTAATTACGACAATGAACAAAAACAGTTTCGGGAGTTTGGGAGTTTCGACACCACGGACACCACACTGAAATGAGAATGAGAATGTTTGCCGAATGTTTTGTAGATTTGGGACAGATGACTACACTGTAACACAAAAAGTTTAGTCTGTACCGTTAAAAAAATCTTGATGGCGTTTCTATAGTGAATAATTGTGTTATATAGCTTGGTTAAGTCAGTTTTTCCCTGTTAAATATATTTTGTTTTTCGATATCATTTGTAAGTAGTGAGTATATTTATGGTCATGGTGTTGTCAGCACTTGCTTGGATTTCCCGCCTGCTGAGAATCTAGTCACAAGGAAGAAATGTGCCACTTTTAAGCGAGACTTATTTTTTAAATTTTCTTTTGCTTAATTTGTTGAACCAAATCATTCCAGGTAATTTCTGAAATTTGATGTTCAACTTTTGTCATGTTTTTTTTTTTTAAATTTACCTCTTGAAACCGTGAAAAGGAGTTATTTAAAGGTGATATCGTAATGTAGGCAAGAGGGTTAAGGCCGGCCTACAACAAAGACAAAGAAACTTGTTGTATTTAGCATTTTACTGATTATTTTTGTCATCTGATTAAATTTGACCCATTTCAATTGATTTTTTAGGAACCACCTCTAAGCAAACCCCTGTTTTCATATTGAAACACATTTATTCATTCGTCCTTGTAGACCTGTGATAGATGTTTTGTAAAGTTTAAATCAACATTTTTTTGCCTGTAAATTTGTGTAATTTTTCGATATGTGTTAGGAAAATTTAAGATCAGTGTCATATCAGTGACATGATTTTATTAGAATGCTTTCAGATTTAAGTTTACTTACAGTGTTATTTAAACCTACAGTAAGTAGTCACCTACTTACAGCCCACCCTAATCTTTATTAGGATCTTAATTTAGCCTGATTTTCTAGGTTATCATTCATACTTCTAAGTGGACTCTTTTGAACTGAAAAACCATGGACTCAGATTCACCGCCTCGTAAGAAACTGAAACAAGGTATGGAGAATCTCTGGTGGAAGTATTATGGAAATTAATGTATGCTAACTACCTTTTCATCATCAACAGCTCGTTTGCCATTTCAAATTCTGAGCCCTAAAGATACAGTGACAGAGGCTACACCTCCTACTAATAGAAAGCGCCAACTAAGTGAAGATTCAAATGATGATGACGTTGTAGTCAAAATTGGAAAGAAATCAGAAGAATACAAAGAGAACAACACTGTTGAGATTCCTGTGGCTGAGAATAATGACAAGGAATTGGCTCAACCAATTTCTGAAGATGTAACTGAAGTCAATTTGAAAAATGAAACAACTGAAATTGTTCAAGAAGAAACTCCTAATCCGGTCACAAAAGAATGTGGTGGTGAACAGGGTAACATTCTTCAAAACAAAATGAAATCAACTTTGGCAAATTTATTGGGTAAAAAAGTTTTTGATGTGACCGAGGATGTAGGATCATGTGACTGTGGATGTGAGGAAGCTGATTCAGGTGACGAAGCCATAGAGGAGTACATGGCACATTGCATTAAAAGAAAACTCGGCTCGGATTCCACTGAGAAGACACCCAAGGAAAAGCCTAAAAGAAAATCAGGGCACAGGAAAAGCGTGAATCAGGCCAGCCCTACCAAAGGGAGCCCCTCAGCTAAACAGAAAGGAAGTAGTAAAAAAAGCCAAAACAAAAGTCCTGCCGTCAAAAAAGCAGATTCTATAGAGACTGATGAACCAAAATCATCTGACATTGAATCAAAGTCATCTGAAGTTATGCCAGAGCAAGAGACTGCTAAGACACCCACAAGAAAAGAGTCATCAGCTAAAAGTTCCATCCTTTCTCAAAAAACCTATGACATGTTTGCCAAATGGAGAAAAGAACCTAGCAGTTCCTCTAATAAAAATGAATCAACCTCTGATTCTTCTGATTTACCAAGCAAAGAGAAGGAAAACTTGGGTGAAGGCAGGGAAGGGGTTGTTCTGGATGAGGGAAAGAACACTACAGCATCAAATGAAATTAAGGCTATTTCAATCTCTAGGATTGAACTGAAGGGAACTAACCAGTCTATCAAAGAAGAATCAAAACCCTCAATTATTGAAGGTGGATCTAAATGTCTCAATGAGTTAGAAGTATCAGAAACTAATGCAAAGAACAAAACTGTTCCAGAAATTGTTTTAGATGAAGGAAGCAAAGATTGTGAGAGTCCAATCAAGCAAGTTAGCAACCAAAGTAAAGAATCACCTGGTCACAAAAATCAGCCAGGTAGTACTGAATGTCCAATTAACATAGAGTCTGAGAAACCAACTTTCCCTATCACTCCAACTGGCATGGGTAAAGCTCCTCAGCGCCGTCTGACTCCAAAGCAGGTTGAGCGTCTAAAGAAACAAGAAGAAAAAGAAAAGCAAAAATTGGAGCGGGAGAATGAAAAGAAAAGACTTCAACAAGAGAAAGATGAGTTGAAGAAGAAAGAGAAGGAGGAGAAAGAGGAACAAAAACGAAAAGAGAAAGAAGAAAAAGAAAAGAAGAAATTGGCTGATCTAGAACAAAAAAATGAGGAAAAGAAAAAAAAAGAGCTTCAGAAAGCTGAAGAGAAACGGAAAAAGATAGAAGAAAGGAAAAAAGCTGAAGAAGACAAGAAAAAATCAGAAGAAGAGGAGGAAAGGAAAAAGGCCAAAGCATCAGCTCTTTTCACAAGTTTCTTTGTACCAAAGTCCTCCAAAGCAGAAAAAGAAGAAGCACTTCCATCACCATCTACTGTTCAAAATTTCATGCCATTTGAAATAAAAGCAGGTATGAGAATGGCTCCTAAAGTACGACATACACTTTCCTGTGCCGAAAAGCAATGTTTGGATAAAATATTGGAGCATGAGGTTGATATGCCTAAGGATTCCCTTTATCTTAATGCTTTAAAATCTGGAGGAATAATTCCCAAGCTGGCATCTAAGACATGGCCTGTCACTGAAGTTAAAGAAGATGATGACATAAGTATTCTTGAGTCTGATGACTATGGAGTGTTAGTAGAAAACACAAAGAAAGTTGAGGTATTGAGAGCTAAATTTTTGCAATTTCATGAAAATCATCGACCAGCATATCGTGGAACTTGGAGGAAAAGAAGTAATTTTGTCACTGGTAGACGTCCTTTTGGTCAAGAAAAGGTACCTTTTTTATGAGAGTTTCAAGTACTTATTTAAAATTTATCTGTGCAGAGTTATTGATGGTTTTTTCCTTTTCTTTAGATTCTTGATTATGAATTTGATAGTGCAGATGAATGGGAGGAAGAGGAACCAGGTGAATCCTTACATGGTTCTGATGATGAAAAAGAAAAAGAATCTGAGGATGAATATGAGGTTGATAACAGCATCTTTGTGCCACATGGATATTTGAGTGATGACGAAGGTGATGGTGATGAAGAAAGCGAAGAAGTTTTTGTAAGTATTGACATGGTTAAATTGTGAAGTGTAGTCAAATTTTTATTTTTTTTCTGAAGTTAGTCTCATTTTTGGTAAAATTATTCCAGAGTCCAGAAACACAAAAAGCAAAACTCAAACTTTTGGGCGAAGAGTTTGAAGCACAAATGAAAAGTAAAACCAGTGCTTTGAAACCAGTCATAATTGTACTTACAGCTGCACTTCAAGCATCCTCATGTAAGTCTCATTTTACTGTTATGCATTTTTCTAAATCTGCTATTTTAATCTCCTTTTTTTCCCCCCCCCTTCACAGTAGGCTCTGTTAGGTATCAAAAGCTTCTTGAACGTCGTGCTGTTTGGCAAGAGGATGATGGACCAATAGTACTTTCTAAATTGAAAAATGACAATGCGGCGTCTGTAGGTCTAGGAGTGTCAACTTCTGATCCAAACTGTATGACATTCAGTTCAGGACCAGGTGCCAAGAAAAAGATTATTTCTGAAGAAGGTAAATTTCTTATTATAATAGTGATATTATTTTGATGAACCATTTAATACAAGTGTGGATATCTTTTTCCTACTTAGCTTTACCTGCTCTTATCACATTAGTACATGGCAATCAAAATAAGAGAGTCTTTCTCACCAATGAATTCTCTGCTTTCCTGGACAAGTCTCGTTCAGTGAACCTCGAGAATACTCAAGAGAACCCTAGTGTAAATACAAATGCTTTAGAAGAGTGTGACAGACCATCTACTCCATCTGTATGTGCACCAAATCCTCTAGCATTGAAATGGCCAGACTTACCTCGTGCGTCCAGAATTTCTATCTCAAACAAAATTAAAGAACTGGCTGCCTGGGGTCCATGTCCAGATGAAGGTCCTTTGCATAATCGCCTGTGCTGGTAAGCTTGTTTTTACTTGGCTATTACTCAAAACATATCTTATCCTTTTGTCATTTGTTTTGCCATTTGTAAATTATTGACATAATGTCAGTGTGTTAGTATCATATATGAAAAATAATTATGTACCAAATTAAAAAAAAAATTCTTGTGCAGGTATGTGGCAGAAGAAACCAGAGCTAAATATGGTGTGTCTGACATAAAACTTCCAAACACTCTTTGGCATTACACATTGAAGCCCAAAGTCTTCAATCACAGTCAAAGCCCAATCGCTAGTTCCTCAGCTGTAGCGGATTCTCGCGCTCTCATTACAAAATTTACCAAAGTCATGACTCCAGAAGAGAAGCAGCGTCAGTGGAAACTGTATGTAGTATCAATATTCTTAGTCCGTGTAATGTACTTTTTCTGTCTGTATGAATTAACTTAATTTACAAATTCTTACAGAATGGAGAACACAGGAAATAGTACTCCCTCATCTTCCAAGTTGACCTCTTCAAAGGGTTCAACTGGTAAAATTACTGCTTTTACCCAACAAACAAAGACTCCAAGTAGTGCCGATCCCAAACAATGTATGCCAGTAGTTTCTCAACCAGGAAATGCAAGTGTTACTCCTTCATCCAGTCAACCACCGGCAAAGAAGAGAGTTCCTCTCTTGGTGTCTGTTCCTAGAGGACAGCAGATAACTGGTAGTTCCTCTCACTGCAGTTTGCTGTCTAAATTTGAAGCATCGACGTCTAGCAAGTCTATCCCTTCATCCACAAGTGTTCCTTCAGATTCTAGCCAAACAACTTCAGGCTCTGACAGTGCCAAACAAATTTCATCTCCTTCATCTAATAGTACAACTCACTGTACCCCAGAAGACGAAATTGTCCTTGATTAGTCATTATTCACTGCCATGTATAAAACATAATTATCAGGTCATTGGTGCTTTTTGTGTGATTAGCCGATTTTTTAAAATTTCATGCTTATTACAAGTTGTATATATATGAATATTTATTTTTGTAAGTCTTATGTATCTTGTTAAAAATAGGAATCTAGTTTTGTTCCCATTTCTACACTAGCTATTATTTAATTTTAATACATGATGATTCTATTATGAGGTTTGATTGAAACCTTTTTTTAAATGATTTTTGTGTTGTTGTTTTTTTTTGTGCGTGTGTGGAGCCAGTGTAGATTGGTGAGGCAGATCTTTTTATTTGTGACCAGCACTGGTCTTACCAGCTTTCAAAATTGGCTAGTCACACTATGAACTTAACTAAGTGAAGTCCTACCCTACTGTTAAACTTTTAATTCCTAAGGTTGTTAATTACTTTCAACACTTTTAGATATGTTTTGTAGTACCTTATTATGTGTGCAATGGGGAATAGGATCTTGTGAATCACTTAATATCTATCTGTTTTCCTAATGTAAATACTTCACATGTCCATTATCACACCTTTTCTCTTGTTAAACAATGCTTGACAACTATTTTCAGGAATGACTGTCAATGTTCCATTTGCTAATGATCTGGTGTTAATCCTTTTTGTTTCCAAAGGGAAACTTTACAATTACTTCGTGTATTTTTGTACAATCTTTTTTGGATCTTCATGTGTACAAAACATAGAAAATAAATTTTATAATATTTCAATGTAGTTATGGTATAGTTTTCCCACCTTGCTCTGATCTTTTGAGGTCACCTGGATCATTCAAGTTGGCCTCAACCATTGACATCGATGACCTCTATGACACTGATTCTGTTATAAAATGCTCACTTAAAGGGGTCCTTAGAGAGCTCGTAGGAACCGTTCTTCCACCGATGCCCCTCACCCTGGTCTTACTTTTCTAGATATAAAAGAACCTTTGCGGGCTCCCATCTGTGGGTTAGAACCGCCACAAAGAATATCTCCTAATGACGATGTTGATCCGCCCAGTAGGTGGAATCGAACCACTCTGGCGCTAACCAGCTACAGGTTTGAAGCCTGCACCCCGGACCACCGAGGATCAACTGGGCGTTGACGTGCGTATTCCTCCCGGAATATATAGCTCCGTACAGCATCCGATATCGTCAGCGAGAACGAATGGACCTGGTCGATTGCCAACATGTACCTTCATCTTAGAGAGCTCAAGAACTTTTCCTGAGTTGTATGGCGACCCATCACAGCCACAGGTCACCAACTTAAGTCTCCAATGCGGTCCTTATAGCAGGAAAGTCCATCTGCAGTATCCCAACCGAGCGTCCCTAGGCTGGCCTAGATCCCGTGTCCAGGTGCGTGGCCGGTGGTGGATGTGTTGCCTATCGTCCGGGCGGAGACCCGGGGCCGGACGGAGAGTGTATTTCGACTAACGGAGGAAGAAGAAGAGCGGGTAGAACATAAAGGTTCCTGATTGGCCGAGCGCTTACCCCCACTACCGGCGTGACGTAGAGGTAGCGTAGAGGCGGGAAGCTCTCGACCAATCGGTAACGTTTATGTTCTACCCGCTCTTCTTCTTCCTCCGTTAGTCGAAATACACTATACGTAAGTATAAAGGCGGAGTAATTTGTCAGGGCTGGTATGACCTAGCGCGGCCGTAGTGACAGCCTACTTTGCGTAGATTTATGAACCCTCCCAACCCTTCCCTCCCACCCCCTACGCGTTAATTGTTTGCGCCAGTGTGAAAGCGCGTGTAGATGCCTTATCTGCCTGGTGCTGCGCGGAGTTCCCACCCCACCAGCGGAGGGGTGTGCTGCGGGGTGACACGATGCAGCTCGAAGCACGGCGGTGCCGGATTTTTATTTCCGGCACGCGTTTGGTTTCTGGGGAGTTTGTTCGTAACACGTCAACGTGCGGCGACGTCGTGGAGGTATCTTGTGGCACTCCCCCCCCCCTTTCCCGCTCTCTCCTGGGGTGAGCACCGCACCGCACCGAAAAACATGTGTATGTGTATACACGATGCGATATGATCAAGTAGGCGGGGCTGTGGTGCGGGGGCGGAGACACCCCTTCCCCTATCTACCGTGTCTCTCTTCCGGCCGACAAGCGCCACCGGAAGTGCGCCCTCGG